CCCCAAACTCCAGAATTTGTGATGTACCTGGAAATGGCCTCGGCCCCACACTGCGAAGTGCTGCCCGCCCTGTTCGGGCTCCAGAAGGCTGTTGTAAATGTTTCGCGTGATTTCGTATTCTTTGAACCACCCATGCTCCAGGAAGATCACCTGTAATAAAATTGTTGCCGGCGCAGAACATTTGCCGGCACCCCCAACAAGGGGTAGGCCACAGGATGACCATGAAAGTGCGTGCTTCAGTCACTAACATAATCGTACTTGAAAAAATGTTCGGTTTCGGGCAAAACAGTCATGACGCAAAGGACGGTGCGAGGGCTTCAACCATAATGTACATGGCAAGACACACAACACTGTTGGACCGGCGACCACGCTGCTACGAACAACGGCCGTCAACACCCCGCTGTATTACTGTTGGACGATGCCCGACACAGGCATAGTCCGATGGGAGGCTTCAAAAGCGGCCCATAGCGATTCGAGCTTCGTAAGCGCAAGCTAAATGACATGGAAAACACGGGATGATCAACAAGATGGGCAATATCACGGCGGCATCAACCATGGAACACTACCAACAACCACACAACAAGACACAAGGTAGACAAGGAACTGTACAGACACGACACGCTCTGCTGGTGATGGCTTACCAGAATGCAGCGTGACAAATGCCAGCACATGACCTGCCGCAGCAGCCCCGGGTTTTCCGCTAGGATGCCCACCACCGGCTCCAGCACCTACGATACCAACAGTAGACGAGAGCAACCCAGTCGTGGACACGGCAGTCAATAAGTTATGGGAACAACGTCAGGGAGTTTGCGCGAAAACACGAAAGTTTGCTGTGGAGGTTTGGAACGAGGAGCTACAGTAGACGGCTCTACGTGAGCACAGCATGGCGCGCAGGTTTTCGGACAAGGAAAGCTTGCGAAGCACCTGCTGCCAAGGCAGTCTCGTGATTCACGTGTGAGCGTAACAGCGCGTCCAACACGCGTGGCACTACGAGAACAAAACAAAAACAACCAGCCCTTGCGAAAACAAGCCCTCATGAAAACACTCCGCGCAGACCGAGTTGAAGCTTTCGTTCCGTATTGTCGCGGTACGAAAATGATACTTGGATACGTCATTTGCGGGAGTAACAACGGGGTCGCCCAGACACACCGACACAAACGGCACACGGACGTCTTAGGATGAAGGCAAAAATTGCTGCGCCCGGTATTCCACGCCAACCGTCTAGGACATCCACCAAGCAATCTTACGTTTGCTGCGGATAGAAAAACAAGCCACACAATGGCCACAGCAAAAAAAAACGAACGTTCCCCAGACCGTTTCGCATCCACGACGTTGTGGACACGGATTAACCTACCCGTCACCCCTGCCAAAATACGAAAAGCCTCACGCAAGAGGAAAAACGTTGCGTCTAACAAGATTTTTGTGCAAGGTTTTTGTGAAACGTACACGTGGCGGCCTTGAGGACGCTGCCGTGGAGGAAAACAAGCGGCTCCGACACCTCTTGCAGTCACCGCAGGCGAGAAACAAACTACCAAAACGGTAACATCACCACCAGCACACACCTCCAGCCCGTCTTGGCTCCTACCCAAGCGTAGCAAGATGTAGGCCAACACCCCCTTCACGAGCACGACGCCGAGAGCTCCGAACGAGGACGAGTTGTCCCGGCTCATGCCGTCAGCACGTGTCAGGATCGGCAAGAGGGAGTTCAACTCCGCCATCACCTGTATGGCGGGAGAGAACCAAACAGTGAGACCGCTGTCTCGTCGATCCACACTTGGAACCAAAATACTTCAGAATAACCACAAGGTGATCTTTACCGTAACCGTATAAGTTGCCAAATGTGTGGGGGGGGGGGGGGGTAGTCATAGTCGTGCATGCCGTAATCGTTAGACCATTGACCTCGCATCCCTACAAAGCCGGGACGGAGCACGCCGGGTTCTCACCGGACCAGGGTCTCACATCCCAAGCGCGAAGCGCCGTGTGGTATTCGGCGAGTCGCATGAAGGGTGCCCTGCATCCTGCGAAGGGTGTTCGGCATCTTGTGCTTACTTCCTTGCGTACGGATGAC